AGTCTGTTATTAGACTTATATACATGTCTCAAAATAAATATACTGCTTCAAAGAACTTCTATGTATGCATGTGTCCTCAATGCAAAAGCCAAAAAGACTTGTATATATCGAAAACGAACGGCAAAAAGCTTCATGCCATAATCTTTCTTTTCTTTTCTTTTTTCTTATGATGAATCATAGTCCTTGTTTTTATGTAGTTTAGTTATACTGCTTTAAATCATATTGCATACACAAACGTATGCGAATTAGGATACAAGTGCAGCCAGTCGGAAGACAAACATTTGTGGGAGGAGATTCAGCCTTCACCGCTGGAAGGCCATAACCAAAGCAATGAAGAAGCGTTGTCAACGGAGATGGCCGCTTCCATGTCGAAAACGAAGTATAGATTTCCCAAAGGAGTAAAAACAGAGCCATATCTCTACACAGTTCTGTTTGGGATTCTATATAGAGTCCCTGCTGCGATTTTCCTGTTGATGATTATCATCCTCCTTTGGTCTTCCTCCACCACCCTCATCTTCAGCAACATCGTTCATATCTGCTTTTCCTTGCGGGAACTCAGGTTACTCAACAATCTGTACTGCCTCTGAACTCCCTGTTCCTGTGATCCATAACGGTTCAGTTGATGTAGCCGGAGATGATCATCCAGACCCAGTTATGGTTGCCAATGCCAGCAAAATTCGCAGAGATAAACGAATTGTCAACGCTGTGAAGGATGTCGAAAAGCAGCTACAAGCGCAAAGATCATGGGCGTCGGATGAGAATCATGCACGATGCGATGGCAGGTGAATATATGTATATGATCTACCGTCTAAGTTCAACAAGAATTTGGTGGGTCAATGTGGGGATATGATTCCTTGGACGAAGTTGTGTAAATTTTTCAAGAATGAAGGGAAGGGAGAACCGCTTTCCAAGCTTGGGAAAGGATGGTATCACACTCACCAAGTCACCAGTATTCCCTGGAGCCCATGCCAGGGTTTTGAAACATCCTTGCAGGGATTATGATGAGAATGAGGCCAAGCTATTCTATGTCCCCTTTTACGCTGGATTGCATATCTTGAGATGGCATTTCAAAAATGTTTCCAACGATGTCAAAGATGCCCTGTCTCTGGAACTCATGAAATGGCTGGAGAACAAAAGGCCATGGCTGAGAAAACCCGGTGAAGATCATGTTTTTGTTTTGGGAAAAATTTCATGGGATTTCAGGAGAAGAGATGATTCTCCCTGGGGGAGTAGATTTCTCAGACTTGATCAATTGCAGAATCCAATCAAGCTCTGATCGAGCGCCAACCCTGGCACGTCAATGACATCGGAATCCCACATCCCACCTTCTTTCATCCACATTCTGACATGGACATCGTCACCAGGCAGCTGAAGATTATAGAATCAAAATGAAAAACCGTGGTGGGTTTTGCAGGAGAGGCGAGGCCGAATGCACCTGAACATAAGGTCAGTTTTAATCAATCAGTGCACTTCAGTGGATGATCAGAAATGCAAGTTCCTGAACTGCGGCTCTG